AATTCTACCTTTAATGGAATAGTGACTATTGAAATAGCTTTTATCTAAATAATTAATTAAACATCAAATTTCATTGTTCAGTATACGTGTACTTATAACAATGAATCTATTTCATTTGATAAGCCCTCAATTTCTCTTGCCAATTCACTATCAGATGAACTGCTGGGTGTTTTGAATTCATTTCCGACAATTGCGGAAACGGAAATAGGATGGAATACCGCCGGAAGCTCCTTTCAATTGCAGACATAACGTTACTACCTAGAAATAGAACATTGTTTCGTGTCCTTAATTGAAATCCATACTAATAATCTATATTAAAAAAAATTGTTAAGACTTTAATTACATGTTATTAAGACAATTACGCATAAATATCATAAGACCATAATAATATGTAGGTAGAATAATTTCCACCGCGATGAAATAAAATTTACTACGAAAAATTAGACATGAAAACGTTTACGCTAGTACGTTAAATTGTTATTCATTTATTATTAACATAGTGAATTTCTCACTTAAATTGTGTTAATTGTATATCGGAATAAGGGGTTATAAAAATGACCCTTGAATTGAGGGTAGAAGACTACTATCGTTATTGGATATTTATTATATTCATATAATATATCTACGTTCAATAAAACTTAATTAATATATTGTACGCGAATGTGAAGCGGGCTTAAAAGATAAAAAAAGAAAGAATGTTTTAAATAAGTAAGTAATTATTCATCCAGGCTACAATACGATAAGGGCCTCTTACTAATAAAATCAAGCATGGACTTAATAATAAAAGCTTGTGTTATTTTTAATTATATTGAATTGCAACAACGAAATGGCTACTGCCTAAGCATGAGCACAAAGTCCACCTGATGGTGGACGTTGTGGCCCTAAGACATCTACCCACATTTATCCTCGATTAAGAATCACAATGCAGATGCATCGCCACCCGTGGGGACTAAAATGGAATGCCGTGTTTCCAGTTAAATGAGTCTTCGATTTTCCACACTTACTAAACGAAACACAGCAGCATTAAGGTGCTATTATACTCAGGTATTCTGTGAGAGCCCAGTCGAACTGACCCATTCGTGCTACAGACATAATATAGCTGCAGCGTAGTTCTACCACGTTAAAAATTGTTGTTTGTTTTGCAAATTATTGCCATGGCTTTATTATTCTATAAGTGCCGATAACGGATACTCAAGAACAGTCGACAAATATCATAAGCGAGGAATAAAAATATATTATCGAATATTCTGTAAATATAAGAGCGAAAAATATAAATAAATTAACGGACCGTGTATGGGAAGAAGTTGGTGTACTAAATGGTAACATTATCAGTATTTATATTAACACTATTCATATGCTGTATGTAATGAATACTTATTTCAGATGCGATTTTTTTCAGCAGAAATACCTTGCATACTTTCACAACATCTGTAGCGGGAAAGCAGGACATCGTAGCTACATCGCGATTATTCCCAAACGATAAGGCATTGTCCTCAACGCGACTCGGTACGAGTATAATATAAATCATTGCCTGCCTCGTTGGTATTAAACGCGATTGCCAAATATAAGTTCCCGGGTTCAAATCTGAGGTTGGACCAAATTGGTTATTGGATTTTTCTGTCAAGAAATACTCAGTAGCAGTTCGAAGTCAGCCGATGTGACGGTAGTCCACTACCGTCACATCGGCTGACTCGGGGGAGAAGAAAGTGCACCCATGCTTGCACATACACTCTGGCACTATAATCCTGTCCCGCGCAGATGTCCGGCTCGATTTCTTTGAGACTGGCTGCTGTGACCGAATATCGGTCTGAAGGACATTGTTTATCAATCATTATTTGTACCCTGCTCGTTGTCTAGGTAAGTCGCGGTGATCAGTATACGACAACAGTATATGTTGCAATACGTGGTGTTGACGTCACGATTTTCACTTTGTCGTTTTTCTCAATAATCGTATCATCATGTACCTCTGCTTAGTTTATTTTAGCTCAATATTCGTGTCATGACATATCACTGGTGTATCCGATTTACTAAACATATTTTTAATTTGCAAACTCAGACTAATAAAGAAATATAGACAGTAATAAGTATAGATATTTATTTTAATACATTATATACTGAAAATCACATCAAAAATAGTTAAGCTATTATAGAGTTTGTCGTGAACAAACTGTGTGCACAAACGGCAAACAGACAAAAACATGTTTAAGATTTTGAAAAGATTTCATTTACGTATGTGTAAGTAATAAGTCGAGGAAAAGTTTCTTCGTATTTTAGATACAATTTCAAGACATTTTTTTAATGTTTAATTATATTAAATATAATAAGTATATATTAAATTAAACTAATTTTTACGCATTTTATCGCGTTTAATTTGACTTTTTAATTCCCGACGAATTTTTAGTTCAGACACTGCAGACTTGTTTGAACATGTTCTAAATCATCCCCGGCATTACACTAGATTTGATAGTCAACAAATCCTCGCAAAAGAACACCGATTCCTACCAAGGATGATTCGATGATGCTATTCAAATTAAAAAGCATCCTAATTTCAATAGAGAAGATGGACGGGTGCTGCCATCTGCTTGGGATCCTATAATTAATAAAATTAAATCCAAACTCAAAACTTTAAGATACTGTTAGCTTATTCTGTGTAGATTGAACCAAAAATTAATAAGTATTCAAAAACTGAAGGTAGCCGGGCTAACTATGACATCGGCACGTCAAACATCTCAGTCCCCCCCCCCGTAACCAAGGGGACTATAAAGCACCCGAAACATCTTGAATTAAAAAGCTGAATTAAACGCGATAAAATCCGTAATAATTAGTTTCATTTAATGTGTAGTATTCGTGTAAATTTAGGAAATCATTATATAATATAAGTATATGTGTCGTTTTTTCGATAACTTATTGCCATCTTGTAGGTAGTGACGTAATCCCCTTGCTGTATAAATCTTGGGATTTTTGATCAAAAAATGCGACAAGTAATTTTGACAATCCTTACTTGACGTTAACCTTACACTACCCAAAGAATTTTGAAAAGACAGAGATAGTGAATTGAAAATCTGAAGGTGCAAGGTCAGGACTATATGGTAGATGCATTAACACTTCCCAACCAGGTTCTCTCAATTTTTGCTGAGTGGCCAATGATGTGTATGGTTTGGCGTTATCATGATGAAAACCACACCTATTCTGTTGATCAATTCCAGCCGTTTTTTTCTCAATTTCTTGCTTAAGTCTTATTAGTTTTTGGCAGTAGAGATCCGAATCGACGGTTTTGTCTGGCGGTAAAAGATCAACGATGCCCTTCAAAACCCACCATACACACAGCATCACCTTATTGCGTGATAATCTGCATTTCGCTACAGTCTGTGGAGCTTGACTACCCTAGTGGTCAATATTTTCAAAAATGGTTCGGTTTCATAACCTTTCAATAGAGAATCGCAAACGAGTACACAATTCATTAGGTTTCTTTCAGTGAACCCGTGTGGTACCCAAATATCGAGCTTTTTTGCACAGCCAGACTTTTTCAAATAAGTCAAAACTGTTTTGTAGTCAATCTTCAATTTTCCGGCTATGTCGTAACTACTAATATTCCGATCTTGCTCCACTTTTTCAAAAATGGCATCGACTTTATCCATATGAGGGCGACCAGAGCGAGCTGCGTCTTTGACATCAAAATTCCCGGTCTGAAACGCCTGAACTAACTTTGTGCTACTCTTACTGACACTGCACTGGTCCATAAACATTACAACATTTCCCTTTTTTGTAATAATACTTGAATGTATCGAATTTCTTCGTTAGATTCACTCATTTTGGCGGTCAGAAAATCAATCGATAAATGGCGGGAAAGTGTTTCTTTACTTTTTCTTTTTCATAATATAATACATGTATTGATATTAAAACCAGACAGATAGAAACAGTACAACCAAAGAGGTTTTTCTTCAATTATATACGAGTACAAACTAAATACGAAGAAACTTTTTCTCTGCCTATAAGTTTTTCGATATGTTATTATATATCAATTAATTATTAATTTTTATTTGTTATTAACATTGAATTAAACATGTTTTTATACATAAATTAATTACAATTAAATAGTCACGTGACGTAACCCTAAGTAGACTTGTGTCTCGTGATCAGTTCAGTTTTACACTTTCATAGATATTCAATTTTTGAATTTATATAAATTTTATAATTCTAAGTGGTCTATATATTAGGAGGATAATACTTTTTACTACGGATAAATATGTATGCTATCAGTATTTTCTATATTTATAGAAATAAAATAACGATATTTTATTATAATGATTTTATAGTAATATAATCACACTAAACGTTAGTAAAATTTTGTAAACTGTAATGGTATAAATAGCGTATATAGTACGTAAACTATTTCGAGTTTTTTCGGAAAGGCAAGCAATAAAGTTTATTATTAAGTAATTTATTGATTATTTATTTTTACAGACGTCGGAAACGTAATATTCAAATTTTTAAGTGGTATTCTATAAAAATCTAGATATAACGAATATAAAGTGTGATTGTTAGAAACACAAAGCTGTGAAATGTTAATGGTCATCATTAAGAGGCATAACTTAAGCCACCGGTCCTTTGTGACATGAAATGTGTAACAGTTGGTCTGTTATGTAACATAATATTTAGACAATGCGACGCACACAGTGTTATTTATTGCTATTATTTGGGTGTGTATGTTACAAAATAATTATGAGAGTTAACAGCTAGCTTGTTGACAAACTCCGCGCTTTTGTTTTAATTGAGAACTAATATTTACCTGTTTTAGATTAAACTTCAACCTAAATTAGTCAAATTTTTAAAGGCCATCAACGCACCAGAGGATATCCTTGGCACTGCAGCTATTCAGCTATAGCATTGCAGCCGCATGGCTTACCTGATGACATGATACTAACCATTTTGGCCCCTCTTATATGAAAACATATATCAGGTTAAGTATGCAAATTAGTTAAATAATAAAGATAAAATATATGGTTTCACATAGACCATGGAGTGGTAACAATTTTCTTGCCCTTACGAACAATAAAATAAGAATTATCATACAACAAACATCATGGAACAAACTTGTGTCTGAAGTCGAGTCTTTGCTGAACAAAGTCTCGGATTGGGGGCGACTAAATCTAGTCCAATTTAATCCTCAGAAGACACAAGTTTGCGCGTTTACCGCTAAAAAGAACCCCTTTGTCGTATCTCCTCAGTTTCAAGGCACTCCCCTTCTTGCCTCAGCCAGTATCGGTATCCTCGGAGTCGACATATCGAGTGACGTGCAGTTTCGTGGTCACTTGGAAGGGAAGGCCAAATTGGCCTCTAAAAAGCTTGGCGTGCTCAGCAGAGCGGGACAGTATTTCATGCCGGCACACCGACTGCTACTTTACAAGGCGCAAGTTCGGCCTCACATGGAATACTGTTCCCATCTCTGGGCAGGGGCTCCCCAGTGCCAGCTCCTTCCACTTGACCGCATCCAACGCAGAGCGGCTCGAATTGTCGACGACCGAGCCCTTTCCGATCGGCTCGATTCATTGGCACTGCGAAGAGATGTTGCATCCCTTTGCATTTTCTTTCGCACCTACCATGGGGAGTGCTTTGAGGAATTGTTCGGATTAATCCCAGCCGCCAAATTTCACGAACGCACATCGCGGCAGAACTCCCGATACCATCCACACCATCTGGATGATTGGCGGTCCACCACTGTGCGATTTAGAAGATGTTTTCTTCCTCGCACGACCTCCTTGTGGAATCGATTACCATCAGCGATTTTTCCGGACCGATACGACTTAGGGACCTTCAAGAAAAGAGCGTACTCCTTTTTAAAAGGCCGGCAACGCATCTGCGATTCCCCTGGTGTTGCAGTTGTTCATGGGCGGCGGTAGTCACTTACCATCAGGTGAGCCGCATGCTCGTTTGCCCCCTCTCCTATAAAAAAAAATACAAACATAGCAATGGATTCAAAAACAAATTTTTACAGTGTAGAGAAATATTGACCATAAAATATCTGTAACGGTGTCAGGTAGCAGCTTCAAAGGTGCAATATATCCGTTATACTCCAATTGCCTATCCACCTGACATGCATTCATGAAAGCGATAGCACTGATTCCATCCAGAACTACTTCTTCTTTTCATCTTTGGAAGTAATATGACAAAGCACTTTCAAGTGGACTACATATTATATAGCCCACTTGAAAGTAAGTGGATGTTGTGGTCTTTAGATATCTATCTTAGATTCAAAATCGAAATGAAAATATACTATCCCTTGCGAACCCTTGAGAACTCAAATGGAAAATCTCGTTACTAGTAAAAATGGTCTCCGTTTCTCGTTACTCCCCGTATGAAATACGGCAATAATAAGCTACTAATTGACGATAGTAGTCTGTGTAAGCTGTGTTCTTCCCTGGTGGAGTCGACCCATTCGTACTACAGCCATTATACAGGTTCAACAGGGCTCTCCGTGTAAACTTTTATTAATATGAAGAAGTGGCAGCTTATTAAAAATTAAAAAAAAACCCTAGCAAAACAATTCAATTAAATTTACTCATTCATCAATAAATTCACCAAGTGTGTTATTGTTTATTTTTAAGAACAATTTGTTACTATGACATGTAGCATAATATGTTATCACGTGCTTTTAAAACCTTCTAGCCGTTTGACCACATACATAATTTACGATTTTCTTACATAAAACGGAACGATGTTTTTTTATTATGTAGCAATATTCGTATTCCTGTAACTTACTTCCTTCCTTTTTTGTATTACTTAATCGTGATTCTTGCTTGAACGTGCAAACCGTAATCCCAGCTATTATGTGGTATTATAAAGTTAGGCGACGCCTAACATTCTCATCAACCTATTCTACCAATTTTATAAAAATGACTGCTGCTGTTGCATTTTTGTAAAAGTGTATTGTATTGGACAATAGTAGCCTTAAAAAACTTAAGGACGACGAGTACCAACACATCTGTTTTACTCGTATAGTTAGGATTTTTTTTATTCTACCCTTACCGTGTCCGTGACATAAAATAATGGGCCCCTCGTTTTTCCCTCGCTATGAAATTTCATATTATGATAAATCACAAAGTTTGGATATTTCATTCACATTCTCTTGATTTATGTAGAAAGTAAACAGGATGTTGTTTATTTCTCTCTCTCTCTCTACTTCACTTTTAATTATTCAAAGCGTTTCGGTCATTAAATGTTTAAAGCTGAGTACTCATTTCATCATTTTGATGTATCTGTAACAGGTATATCGTATCGAATACCTTAGCACCCATTTCATTCATATCGTATCACGAGACAAATCATGACAAAATACATCCACACCATTCATATCAAATAATATCAATGTATCTGCATAATGGTCTGTATATTTGGACACTACAAATTTTCCTTAAAATCTTGTATTTTTCTATCAATTCTCATTATACTTTTATCTCTATTGGTAATCGCACTACCAGCTCTTTTTTTAGCCACTACGATTTTGAGTACCAGTTCAGTCACGTCATCCCTCGTAATTGCTCTGAATTTAGCGCTGACCGGTGCCTGTTTTATTTTGATTCTTATGTTTGTTGTATTCAAACAACTATTCAGGTCTTACTTGACCACAGTGTCACTGCGACCAGTATTATTTGTTGTGATTGCTGCTTTAGCTATAGTTTAGCGCTAAGCCCAACACTTTCAACCAATTGCAGGATAAGTTTAGCTGTGAGTTCTTTTAATTTCTTTGGGCTTATCAAGTAATTCGTGAGACGGATGATACGTCTGCGTGTTAAAGTTACGCCAAGGTTTATAAAAAAAGGCGGTGTTTGTGAGAACTAGAAGTTTTTATAAATAGTAATCAAAATGTTAAAGAAAAATAAAACATTTACTTCCAAACTTGTCAAGACCAGTGGCTTTTAACGTACCCTTTGATGATAGGAGAAAAATCGACTAAGATGGACATTATTAGTGTACGATTTAGTTTAAAATGGTAAAAAGGATTCAATTGAATTGGGTCTATTAAATGGCTGAAGCCTGTAAGGATGAATAAATAAATAAATATTCTAACGTAAATAAGGATCATAAAAACTATAAAAATGTAATTTACTAAGCTTGAATGTTCAATGAGTGTATTCATGATTTTTTCCGTGCCGTGAGCAAAGCATTTTAGGGACCCATCCTTAATCGTGTCTCTGACGTAGAATAATGGATTGCCGGCTTACCAAATGGAAATGCAGGTTACTATAAATCAAAATTTTTAAATATTTGCTTTCAGCAGTGATGTTCATGATAGTAATATACTAAAGATTGGAATGAATTTCTTAATTTAGGTAAATTCCAATTGTATGATATGATATAAATATGATGAAAGTATGTTTAACAGTTATAAATCTACCTAACACTTATTTTCACGCATGAATTAATATAACTATAATTTTCACGCCTTTCAAACATCTAAACATTATTTTATTTATAAGTTTATACATACACCAGATCCTCAGAGTGGGACGGTGTATATGAACTAAACTAATAAATAAAATAAAGTTTAGATGTGTGGAAAGCGTGAACATTATATGTAATTTTATAATAGTTAACTCAAGAATATAATATTGTATTAATTAATATGAAAGTGTTTTTTAAGTTTTAAATCATTTTTCTATAATTTTTAATAGGTGTAAAATTGATTTATAAAAAATATGAAATTCGCTGTTTGGTAGCAGCCTATGAAAATTCTTTATCCCATTTCGATTTGTAAATATTTTCTACTATGTGAATATAAAAAAAAATCAAAACATCCTATAGATGGCGATGCAATTGTCTCGTATATTATCTGCAGCGTAAAATACCCTGACCCGCAACGGTGAACAGCATATAAGGTTAAACAATACAACAATCGTCAACCTGCCAGAAAACCTTTTTTCAACGCAATGGAATAAATCATGTCCAGGAAAGAGATATTGCAGATACAAAAGGAAGAAAGCAAATATAGGAGCAGGCTCTTTTCTTGAAGGTCCCTAAGTCGTATCGGTCCGGAAAAATCGCTGGTGGTAAACTATTCCACAAGGAAGTTGTGCGAGGAAGAAAACATATTCTAAATCGCACAGTGACCGACCGCCAATCATCCAGATAGTGTGGATGGTATCGGGAGCTACGCCGCGATGTGCGTTCGTGAAATTTGGCGGCTGGGATTAACCCCTTCAATTCCTCAGAGCACTCCCCGTGATAAATGCGAAAGAAAATGCAAAGAGATGCAACATCTCTTCGCAGCGCCAATGAGCCGAGCCGATCGGAAAGGACTCGGTCGTCGACGATTCGAGCCGCTCTATGCTAGATGCGGTCAAGTGAAAGGAGCTAGCATTGGGGAGCCCCAGCCCAGAGACGGGAACAGTATTCCATGTGAGGCCGAACCTGCGCCTTGTAAAGTTGCAGGCGTTGTGGCGGCATGAAATACTGTCCCGCTCTACTGAGCACGCCAAGCTTTTTAGAGGCCAATTTGGCCTTCTCTTTCAAATGACCACGAAACTGCACGTAACTCGATATGTCGACGTCGAGGATTCCGATACTCGCTAAGACAACAAGGGTAGTAACTTGAAACTGAGGAGATACGACAAAGGGGTTCTTTTTAGCGGTAAACGCGCAAACTTGTGCTTGTGTCTTCTGAGGATTAAATTGGACTAGATTTAGTCGCCCCCAATCCGAGACTTTGTCCAGCAAAGACTCGAATTCAGACACAAGTTTTTGTTCCAGTACTCGGCGACGTTTTCCCTAGAAATATTGGCACGGTCAGTGTATAAAGCATCACCAGTGCTGTCATCCGCATAGCAATGAATGCTACCGGTTTGCAATATATCATTGATATGCAGAAGAAACAGCGTTGGTGATAGCACGCAGCCTTGTGGAACACCAGCGTTAATAGGCTTGTAGTCAGAGCATGCACCGTCTACAACGACCTTGATGGTCCGATCTGCAAGAATGCTGGTGATCTAATTGCATAATTTCTCGGGAAGCCCATAGGAAGGGATGCTTTGTGCCAAACCCCATCGAAGGCCTTCGCAATGTCCAAACTAACGGCTAATGCCTCCCCCTTGGACTCTACTGCCTCGGCCCATCTATGAGTTAAGTAGACCAGAAGATCACCAGCTGATCGACCCCGACGAGAACCGTATTGGCGGTGACTAATCAGCTGGTGATCCTCAAGGTACCGCATGAGGTGGCAGTTTATATCGGATTACATTATTTTGGAGAACAAGGGGGTGATGGCGACAGGCCTATAGTTGGACGGGTCTGAGCGGTCGCCTTTTTTAGCGATCGGGCGGACAAAAGCTGTTTTCCATAATTTCGGGCCTACGCCTAGGGAGTAGGAGTACCGGAAAAGATGCGTTAGAACCGGTGCCAACTCCGGAGCACACATCCTCAGCACAATTGAGGGATTCCGTCAGGCCCACTCGACTTGTGGATGTCAAGGGAGAGGAGTGCTCTGCGAACCGAGCGCTGTGAGAACCGCACATCCGGAATGGAGCACTCACACCGCGAGATTGTCGGCGGTGTGTTCCCCGCGTCATCAACAGTCTAGTTGGACGCAAAAAGGGAGCCTAAAAGGTCGGCTTTCTTTTTTGCGTCGTGGGCCCGTGAGTCGTCCTCCCTGTGCAGAGATGGTAGTGATGGCTTACAGAAATTCCCTTGGACAGCCTTGTCGAGAGACCAGAATTCACGGGTTCACGAAGGAAGGCGAACTAGTTTCTCGCTAATTCTGCCTATGTGCTCTGACTTTGCCTTGGCAATAAATCTTTTGAAGGACCTGGAGGCGAAGTTATACTTCTTTTTAAGTATGCTGGTGTTTACATCCCGAGTCACCGAAGCCGCAGCCCAGGCTTGATAACACAGGAGTGTTATCAAGCCTGGGCTGCAAGCAGGAGCTTACTGCGTAATGCAGTCTTACAGGAGTGATCAAACCAAGGCTGAGATCAGTGAGAGTGAGTGAGAGTCAGCAACAGCGCTGGGATCATCCGGCGAAAAGCAAACCATGGGTAGGAAGCAAAGAAAGACCGCATTCCGTCCCAATCTGCCGACCTGTAATGCCAAACACGACGGCAACCTGCAGATCGTAACCGCGAGGGGAGCGTGAGTAGCACCACACTCCGGATCAGACAATGGTCCGAAGAGCCAAGAGGGGCATCGACGGAAACCTGATATCCGTCCGGATGAGAGGTCAGCAGAAGGTCCAACAGGGAAGGTGTATGAACCTCAACATCTGGAATCCGCGTGGGCGACGTAACCAGTTTTGTCAGACCATATGCCAAGGCAAATTCATAAACATATCTC